GTGTTTACACACCAACGAATCGTTTTCAACTTTTATGATGTGCAAAAACCTTCGAAATATAATTTTATCTGATCGCATTAATTATTATTAATTGTTGCGTATGAAATATTTATGTGGATCTTTTCGTTTCCTTTTCAAATTTGACATTCATAATTGTTACGTCTGTCTTGAGATAAGTCAAATTTGCTTCTTTTCATTCACTCATGTATCGCGTCGTCGCTTAATCAAATGCACTATCAGTATTATGCTTGAAGCAGATTCCTCATTGCCGATATCGAATAACTGCAAAGATCCTAGAATCGTTGTTGTGCTCGTTTATTTTTTCAATTACTGTAATTAATTCTGACTTTAGAATATTCATGTTGTCAATTGCTGAAAGTAAAGAGCACAAATAAATGAATGATATATTTTTTGTTCGTTATTTGCATATAATACGAATACAACGTTGAGTAGTTGGTTATGAATATTTCGTTCAGATATAAAATGAAATGAATAATTTCAGAGTATGCAAGATGAGTTCGATTACTGGAAACAGAAACTTTATTTATTGCAAGAGGCCGCACCTCGCCCTTTGGCCGTCAAATGCTTCGTNTCGTTGTTTTAGTATGGTGATGAATTCCATGGCTTGATAGAACGAGACATAGCCGAAAAAATGTTACGTGAACGGGGTGAGGGAGCCTTTCTGGTTCGTGCCTCGAAGCGTTCTCAAGACGCAGCAACGTTGTGTATGTTATTTGACAACCACGTGCTTAACTACAAATTATACTACGATGGAATGCATTATGTCGGTGAGAAAAGGTGACTTCTTTGACATGATTCGACGACTTTCATTCAGATTGCATCAGTGTTGATGAGGAATTTTAGTAGAATCAAATGGAATATTTAATAATTCATAGTCATGATCCAGTATAATGAACTTACGAAATTCCATTCAAAATGCTAATCATTTTCCCAATGACTTCAAAATAAGCTCCTCTCAAATGGAGAAAAATTTTGAGAATTTATTTGCCTTCGTCAAACAATAAGGTGGTTCCATAAAAACAAATCAGTGAATAAAAATGAACAATTAAAGGTTCGAAACATTAGAAGAGCTAGTAGCTGATGGTTTGATAACGATGCATATGGAGAAGCATGCGAATGATTATATCCAACGAATGGCTGATGAAGCAATCTACGAGTACAGTCCGTATTCACAGTACCAAAAAGCAAACGACTCTTCGAAACGGATTCAACCGATCGCCAGATGTCATAACTTCGTTTCGGCGACATTTCGAATTCCGCATTATTGCGATTATTGTCGGAATTTTATGTGGGGTCTTGTTCAGCAGGTTACTACTCTTGAATTTGTGTTTGTTGAAGAGTAATGGAAAGCAGTCAGAGGTTTTGTGAATGATTTGATTGTTGTACGATGATAGAGTGATAAAGTGATATTGACCAAGGGAGTGAAATGCGAGGATTGTGGCTTTAGTGCACACAAGAAGTGTAGTGAACGAGCTCTGAACGATTGCCATCCAGAGGCGAAGTATGTGAAGAGAATGTTTGCCGTGGATATCAGTACGTTGTGCATGGCACATGCAGTCTCCATACCACCGGTTGTGTCGTTGTGTATCAACGAGGTGGAGGCTCGGGGCATTCAGGTGGAGGGCATCTATCGGGTCAGTGCAAGCTTAGTTCTGTTCTTTCGTAACTGCACCCTGAAATATTCAATATTATTGAGCTCAACTGAATTTGAACATTTGATTCCATCAACTACAGTTTTGATCATCGTTTTAACACCTGTTCGGTTTATGTGAATTTTTTTAAATTTTAATTTGCATTCTTTCTTAAAATGTTTAGTTCTTCATCAGTTTTTGTGACAAAACTGTAATTCTATAATAATTCAATAATTTAAGTGTAAATTATGTAATTCTATTGCTTTTTGTTGCAATAGGCGATGATTCTATTGCAATGGGCTATAAATCTTTTCTGGATTTCTATTCCATTTCTGTGAATCAGAAAAAATGACAATTGAAAGTTACCTTGAAAAAATTACCACACCTCATATAATTAGTATTGATCAAGTTGAAATTCACCTAATAGTGATCAGTGCAGTTCAGTAGTAATGAATAAGTGATCAATGCAGGTATCAGGATCACACGAACAGATGGAGAAGTTGCGACGACTATTTGACACGCAGCATCGAGTTGATTTGTCGATGGTGGAAGATATTCATACGGTTGCGGGTTTATTAAAGCTTTACTTACGTTTGTTACCCCAACAGCTTATACCCTTCTCGGTGTATCGTTCTTTGCTGAATGCGTTCACTTCGAACCGAAATACACACGACCGTATGAAGGCGTGCAGGTTTCGTTCATTTAACTACTTGCTTTTGTTTGATACATTTTAGTCATTTCACTACTTTGATTCAATTTGATTACAATTATTTTGATACATATCATTTATTTTTTCGTTTTTTACTCAACAGTTAACATTTGATTTGATAGAATACCGTCGTTGATTGAAAAGTTAGAGCAATGTTTTCATGGAAGTGCATTTAATTAAGTTTCTTACACTTTCTCACGAGAAATAAACAAAGCGAGTGAAAGAAATTCCAATTATTCAAGGCTATTGGATAAAATCAGAACTATTGAATTTGTTCTATTTTGTGAACGTTTTTCGTGTTGTTTTAATTGAAATGTTCCAGTTAGAGTTCGTTATGTTTGCTTTTAGAAATAGGGTTTATTATTGCTGATTCTAGATTTAAAATATTATTGAGGTCCGATATCATTTGTTTACTGATTGTGAGAAAAGTGAATCTTTCAGGAAAGCGCTAAAGGAACTGAATGAATCAAACGGACGTACTCTAATAGCTCTGTTGAAACATATGCAAAGAATAGCCTCTCAGAGTGATGTAAATAAGATGAGTATCGAGAATCTTGCGACCATATTCTCACCGACTCTGTTTTGTAGCGGAACTGTGCCTGCCTTACCGCAGCAACAACACCATTTATTACATTTTTTAATATTAAACCCTAATATCGTTCCTTTCGCGCCTCCCTCAGTGCAATAATAATAATAAGATCAGTTTATTTGTTGCTAGCATCAATTTTAGTTCAAAATGAAGTATTTTGTTTTGAAAGAAACATTTATTTCAAAATGTTTCTGCATTGATTCTGTATTAATATTATTATTGTTGTTGTTGTTGTGATCATTGGTATTGCTGCTGTTACACATTGTCATTCATCGTTATTGTCTTCAATTGAATAAGACAAATAATAACGAACCGTATATTTATAGCTTCATGTAATCGGTTTTAACGCATAATTTGTTTCCGTCAAAATTTTTAAATCATAATTTACGTTGAGTGCCTGCTGCCAATCTCTTTAATTATTTACATAAACTTTGATTTGTTTTTTTGTTTTTTTTTTCTGTTGATATTCTCCTCTTCTTTGTTTTGGCTGTTGTTTTGTTGTAAGAATGATTGTTTATCGAGAAAAATTTGAAGGAATTTATTTCTCATATTCAGCATAATTTCTGCAATTAGTTTTGAAATGTTCCTCTCATTTATTGGAAAATCGCAAACAAGGAAATACTTCTTTCTATTTTAATATTTTCATGCAGTCAATCGTAATGACGAGAATAATTCGCTGTTCAATGGATGTGTAATTATTTGACTATACGGAATGGTTAAAAAATGTGTTTATTTGGAAATTTTACGTACGGATACGAGTAAATTTATTTTGAATTTTTGAAGGATTATTTCAGAGATGATCATTAGTTCTCGTTAAATGAATTAATTATCTCCTAAAGCCTTTGTTGGTTGTTTGCTAATGATGCGTCAAGTGTTGTTGTCTTTTATGCTCTTCACTTGAATGGTGCTTTACACACGCGAACCTAATCGAGATTCTCGTTTTGGGGCAATTAACTTCCGTCCTTAATGAGGGCAATTGATCTCGAATCGTAGTCATGACCATTATCCAGCCGTAAATTTAAGTTGAATTTCGGTGGATCTCATTCGAAGAAAAAATTTTTTCACATTTGCAAATAAACTTTTTGGTTGTACTTGTATGTAGGTAACATTTACATTCATCGAATTAAATTCGTATGGTTTATTGAATGCCATAGGATTATAGTTGATGAAATGTATCTCCTCTAATCGATCTGTTTTTAATATCCAAAAATGCGTTCATTATCATCGTATTGATATCCGTTCGTTATCGTCCGAATGTTTGGATTGACTTCACTGTTGTTTTTGTTGTTGTGTTATGCAGTATTTTGTTTATTTGAATCGATTCATCTTGCCCATGAATATCTTGCTCAGGTTGTTACTGTTGATGTTATTATTTGTTTGTATTATTTCTTGACTTATAAATAAACTCATAGATACATTTTCAAATAATTCAATGTGAAACAATTTGGTGAAGTGAAACAAAATGCGCAAAACCATTTGAATCAGAATCAGTCTTCAGTAAACGATTGAAGAATTGACTAAGAGCAGTTATCGCATGGGCAGTGAAATTGACCTAATTGAAACAAAAAAAAATCGTTTTTGTTTCAGTACCATTAATTGAGCAGCAAACAATTTGAAAAAA